CTCTGCAGCGCCTTGAGCGGGCAGAGGGCTGGGCTGAACAAAGGGCTTTCAACCGGCGTTTCGCACACGGTGTGAATTCCCAGAAGAAAGGGGAGTCGGGGAAAATCAATGTTTGCTGAATAAGCTTTTTTCAAGGGGTCTAAACAGGTGGGCTCTTTCAGGTCAGATTGGCTGGGGGAGATGCAGGAGGCAGCAGGCAGGCAGCTGTGGTCCTGCCCACGTCCCCAGAGCCAGTGCCTGTGCAACCGGTGGGACTTCGCGCGGGCAAGTCTTCCTGCGAGGGATCCTTTGAAAGCCTATCCTGACACATGCCGTCCAAGGCACTAATCATCGATGTTTACTGTATAGCTCATATGTGCTGCACCTGGCAACCGGCAAGGGAGCTGAAGGCAGCACGTGTTTTATATTTGAGTTGTTACTTAAAAAATCAAATTATTTGCATCAGTTTTTGACATTGTTTTTTTTCCCTTGGCTCTGCATGCCAGGGCTCACAGTGCGTGCAAAGATCTGTTTGCTACGTGTAAGCAATATTTTCCCCAGTAAAAAAAGTGTAGACAAGTTAAACATAAAAGGTGTAAAAGATGATATGTCTTTTCATTTATAAGCCACCGTGGTATTTCGTACAGGCTTATGTCAAAGAGATTAACCCACTGGAGCTATACTGTATATTTATAATTGCATACAAATGCATGCTATTGCTTCATATATTAGTCTTTGTTAAAAAAATCATTTTGATATATTTGTTTTAGCAGCATAACTAGCCCTGGGGGCACTGGGTATAATTAGAAAAGGGCAGGGGGGGGGGGGGGGCGGGGCTTGTAGAATAAAGCAGTGGCCTTAGGATCACAGGTCCTAATTATAATTTATAATTAACCCTGGAATTTGAACAAACCATCTAAGCTAAACAAGGACGATCATTTTTGCTGTTTAAATTGCAACCCTTTTTTTTTTAATTTCACCACCTGCTTTGTTGATGTTGTTGTTTTCGTGGCTTAAAACTTAAAAACAAGGGGGGATTAAGAAAGTGGCATTTAAAACTTTTCATGTGAAATATTTACAGTGGGAATTTACTAGTTTAGAGCCAACATAGTGAATCTGCAGCAGAAGGAGTGATCTGAAACTTGTTTACTTATAATTAAAATTTTCCTTATTTATTTTTCTTGCCTTTTTTGCCCTTCTGCTTCCCTCTGTGCCCACAACTTCTGCCATCCACCTGAAGTGTCCATGAGCAGGAGTTATAGGGAATGGGAAGAAATTGTGTCTCCGCACAGAGACATTTATGTTGTTTGTTGACCTGAATTCGTAGACCCAAGCCCATTTTGTCCCCTGTGCCTCCATATATACCTTGTACACACAGAACTTTTTTTCACCCTTTTGCTCTCCTCTCATTCCCCGTCACTGCTTCAGTGTAATAATGATGTGGTTGTGGACTGCGTGTGAGAACATCCATTTCCTCCCGCTGCATTTTAGCTAGCCTTGCTGCAGAAATGCTGCTTGCTGGAGGAGTCGGTGCTTCTGTCCATGAGACCAAATAGCAAATATCAAAGTTGAGCTGGAGACCTTTGCTGAAAACAAAATTACCGGTAAGCATCAAAACAAGCTGGTGCAACTTGAGCTTCTCCTGGGGAATTTTTTCAGCCCCATCAGCCATGTAACTAGAATTGTCTAGAGCACAGAAGTGAATCTTAAATTATAGCAACGCTAAGCTATATAGCCTTTGTGTTCTTGCAAAAGGGAAAATAAATATGTTCCCTCAAAGAGATTACATTTTCAAAGTATATTTGACTTGAATATTTAATTAGGTTTCAAAATTATCAAGCTAATAAATTAAGTGCAAGGCTTTGGGTAGTGTTTTTCCAGTTCTATGTATATCCTGCATTTGTCACTAATTAATGAGTTCCTAATGCTTCAGCTTCTGGGAAGATGAGAAACAAAGATTAACGTAACTAGTAAATCCAAAGATATGCAGCTGGGTTATAGTATTTGAAATTTGACAAAAACATTGGAACTATTATTATTTGTGACATGGCTCAAGATGGGGGATTGTGAGGAAAGCAAAGATGACAGAACTGGTGCTAACCACTGTGACAACAACTTGAAAAGCAGCCGACATGACATCTTTCCTATCATGCTGCCGAAAATGTCAACTTTGTGAAGGACAGTGAGAAAATGGTTTGCCGAAAATTTGAAAGGTAGATTCAAGAGATGCTCATCATGTCAGATGTAATATAGTCTACAGCTGGGTGAGAAAGGGAGTCCTTGCCGTGGTGATGGCTCTCAGTTGGCAGGCCCTTCCAGACATCCGCGCTGCTCCAAAAATGGCTACAGCTGACCTGTAGATCGTCTCAAGTTTGCAGCGCACGATACGCGAGAGTGGCGTGCGTTCACACCGCGCGGCAGGCCCTGCACGGAGGGAGCTGTGGCTGGAGCCACCAGGTTTGATGTCCTCCTGGCTCACGAGGACCCCGAGAAAGGCGAAGGCCAGGGGGTGACCACGGGTTAAGCCTAGGTGGTCTACGTGCGCCTCGGTGGTTGGGTTGGCATCCCTTGGGGCGTTGTGACTTGGGCGAGAGCCGCGTTGGCTGGAGGTTCGCTCTCCAGAGCCCACCCTTCGTCTTCATGTGGGTCAGTGTTTTCAAAGTGATGCTTCTAGAGCCGCCAGTGCCCAGCTGGGACGCGACCGGTGCTGTCACGTCAGCCCATTTTGGGTGTCCAACACGAGTCGTTACATGGTGGGCGCTAATAACCAGTTCTGGCAAAACCGAAGCCCTTTGAATACAGTGAGAAACTGCGATTCATGTGCAAGGGCTGCGACCCAACCTGAGCTGTCAGATCCTGCCATTAAATCTCGCCGGTTGAGATTATTGACCCAGCAAAGGGTAACATAACTTTCAGACCATTTCCAGTCCATCAGCAAATCACAGCCAGGGCAGGCAGCTTTTCCTACCTCGTTTGTCAGTGCTGATACAATTAACCTGGTGACACTGTGTGAGCTGTTATGGGTACGGGGGGCGGGGGGACCAAATGCCAAAAGTCAAATGAGGGCTTCAACCCTGCCCCTTAATGTACGGCATTTATTGCGATCTGCCTTGAATTATGTGCTCTTCTGCTTGGGAGCGAACCAGGCGCTGCGAGGTGCACAGCATCACAAAAGGCATGAACATCTCTGTCTGAATATTAAATATTTTATGGAACTTTGGAATAAAAATATATTAAGCATGTTCAGACATTAATTTTTGCTTGATATCTAATTTGGTTTTTTTGTGGCTTGCTCATTTCTTCAAAATAACTAGTCCTAATTAGGTACTAATGAGACCAGATCCATACTTCCAAAACTGTTTATGAAATGTGTTCCCCAGCTGAGACATTTTATCCAAGTTTCAGCCTAAATCTTTTTTCCTTTTTTTTTTTCCTTAATACACAACTGAATTTGGCAAATAATCAAGTAAAGATTTCGGATTAAATGCTGTTTAAATTTAAATACATCCCCTGGTATTTGAGTCTTTTTCTGCATCCATGTTGCGAGTTTTATTTAATATATATTTAGCTTTAAAATTTTGCAATAAATATCATGTAAGTTTTGCCAGTTCCTCTTCCAAAATGTTTTAATGGTCTGTTCACCTGTGTGAATATCAGAGTTCATATTTATGATATTAAGAGCTTGCTAAATGCAGGGTCAAGGAGAAGCGGTTGTACAGATTTTATAGCTTTTAATTTTTTATAGCTTTTTTTTTTTTTTAAGTTTAGGGCCTTTGATTCTTTAAGAGGAAAATAAAGCCAACCAATTAACCCCTGACAGGAGGTTCATTAGAAGCTTTGTAATCCCTTGCCAAGTCTTTTGTATAGCCAAACCGGTCTAGTACTGCGGATTTATGCAGCTTAAGCTGAACACTGGAGGAGGCCTTTAAGTAAGAACATTTGTTCAATTTTAAGACGTCTTACATTGCCTAAAGAGCGCCTGTGCCAGCAGAGTTGCCCAGGAGTACACAAATCCGTAGACTTTGCTCGCCGGCAGTGGGAAGCGGTGCCGTTGTCTGCCCAGCCGATTCCTTTGGTGGATGGAGTAGACTCGGGATTCTGCTGCGGCGCGTGTTTTGCCGTGTGGGCGTGGGGGGGAAGGAGGGGACTGCTGCTTTTGGCTCTCGGGTGGGTTGGCGTCGGCAGAGCTACGGGGTGGAAGAGCACAGGGACCAGTGCATCATCCAGCCCCGGGAGAGCTTCGGCAGGGTTCCCTGCGCACTGTGCTCTGTGAAAGATGAGAAATGCCCCGAGGCAGCGGGACCAGGGTGTCTCACAACGCTCTCCTGTGCACTCCTGAAATACAAGAGTGTAGTACATAGTCCGAGAAAATCTTTGATAAATTGTATCAATGTGTTAATTTTTGTACATTCAAATCAAGTAACCGAAGAGGCGTCGCATTTGCGAATACAAAATGCATGTCGCTCTCTAGACACGTTTCGGCAGAATATATTGAAGATGGTTCGCTTCAAGAAATCGCTATAATGGGGTGATTCAGCGGTTATGGAGGAGTGCAGAATTTTATATTCCGTTTGTATATACGCCTGTCGTTGATACTCTTTTATACTGTGAATTGTGTTACATTAGCGGCTGAATTTTCCTGCAGAAATTGAGTCCCTATTTTGCCAGCAGTGGGCCCAATCCTGCAGCGAGAGCTGGCACTGCGCTCCCTGTCACATGCCTATATTTAAAAGGGGATTCTGCTTTTTCCAACCTCTCCATCACAGGAAAAATAAAGGCAGGGGAGGGTGTCCACATCTAGATTATCAGTCTGAGAGAGGATCTTTATTTCTTTATTTATTTTTGATGCCTCGGTAGTTGCGCTGCCGTGACCACCCGCGTCTCAGCGTGGCGTATCCTCTGTCCCGGGTCTCATGGTGGGTGACATCCCCTTCCAAAAATGCCGCGCGCTGTGTGCAGTGGGGGTGAGCTACCAGGGTGGCGAGGTGGAGCCTGAGTCATTCCTGGCATTTCTCCTCCAGGCCTGACGGGATAGGAACTGTGACCGTAGACGAGAAAGAGCGTTTCGAAGAGATCAAGGAGCGGCTTCGTTTGCTTCTGGAGAATCAGATCACGCATTTTAGGTAAAGGCAGAGAGCCCAGGCTGAATGCGAGAGGACTGATTTCCTCCCAGCTCCCTTCTATAAGCAGCAAAGCCAAAAGGCAGGTTTTGAATGCATACGGGAATTTTGCATAAGTGGCACAGACCTACGCAGGGCAGTGAAGCTTGCACTGTAGCATGTTTGTAGCTGGAGAGTGATTTTAGATATTTAGCCTTTCAAGGATATTTCAAACCATCTGACTCCCATAGGCATGGTAATGCTGTGGATTTTTTCTGAAATTTAACAATAAAAAAAAAAATCCCTTGTCCTCTTATTTCTCCATTCCCCTCTGCTCAGCTATTAGCCATTTATTTTCCCTTCTCCCTAGTATTCAGACAGGCAGGGCTTTCTGCAGGGAGGTCACAGTGTAGGAAGGATGGATACTGCCCCACAAAAAGGGATGAATTGCCCCCTGCACACCAGCCGGGTCCTGGGCGGGTGGTGCACGTTTGCACGCAGAGGGGTGATGTGCATCCGCGTGCAGAGTCCCTGCGGGAGCCCCTTGGAGCTGCCACTCGCCAGGGACAGTGGCTGGTTCAGCCGGTTACCTACAGCCTGCTGCATCGACGGGTCTCCAGCTGGAAGTAAATGTCCTTTCCAGGGGGCCTTTTTTTTCCATTTTTACAAGAAGATGATATTTAACTCTCTCCTATGAGATCTAAAAACTCTCTAGGTGACACCTAGATTTAATAAGCTGCTAAAACTATCAGCTTATCATCACCCCGTATTCTGTTTTGCTGCCTTAGAGTCCACAGCATCAAACCCTTTCAGAAAATTACCTTGTAGAAAGATTGCTCATTCCAGACAGAGGGACTAGATCATTGCTTGGGCATGTTTCGGAAAGCGTCTTTATAGTGCTGGAAAGGCTTGTTCGCATGCACGTGGTCTGATGTTAACGTGATGTGGTTTTTCTAGGTACTGCTTTCCATTTGGCCGTCCAGAAGGTGCACTAAAAGCTACTCTATCACTGCTGGAAAGGGTAAGCATAAGAATAACAGAGAGTACTTAACATTACCTGTATTCATGTAACTTTCCATCCAAAAGAGCTTGAGAAACTGTTGGTTTTGCATAGGACGTGTAATTAATCATAGTTAATATTGAAATGTGGGGTATTAGGTGGGGTTGTTATCTCTCCTGCTTCAGCTCGGAGGCCAGTGTGTAGCCTGGCCGCTAAAGGCAGCACAGCCGGCGTCTGTGTTGATAGTGGAGGATCTCGCTGGCAAGCATCTACACCGCAGACCCTTGTAAGCGATGCCTGGCTGCTGTCCGGTGACATTCCCATCTCAAGGCAGGCTCAATCCCCTCGGGCGTAGGACACCTGCTCACCATCATCCTCCCCATCCCTATTTCTGCCTTCCTGCTGCTCCGACACCCTTCTCACCTCTGCTAACATGCAGTATGGCCAAGCCCAGACCTAAACCCAAGTCAATCAGCAGAGCCCAGGAAGGGCATAACGCTGCCTGGCACTGGGGAAGTTGTGATAGATCTTAATGTCACGCCCTAAAAAATCAGAAGCACAAATTTCAGGGCATGCCATAGGGTATAGATACAGAAGGGGAGTAATACGGCAGGGGTAGGTCCCACGTCTCAAGCTGGCCAAGGTGACCTTGTAGTGGATCCTGCATATTGTACGCATACCCCGAGAGCCAAGCAGCACTAGCGCAGGAATGGATGTATGTGCTGGGCTTGGAGAAAAGCAGTTCTCTGTGCCCAATGCCACAACAAATCAGATTTTCTTGTGTCAAGGTTCTGATGAAAGACATAGTTACTCCGGTCCCTCAAGAGGAGGTAAAAACAGTCATCCGTAAATGCTTGGAGCAAGCAGCTCTAGTCAATTATACTCGACTATCAGAGTATGCCAAAATTGAAGGTAAGGCTCTTTCTTTGTGAAATTAAAATTTTGTTATATTTCTAGGTGGCAACTGTGGCTGGGAGCTATTTAAAAGAAGCTCATTTGCTATTTATTCGCTTGTCAATAAAACTGATGTGATTCTGAATCATTTTTGTGGCGTTAGCTTCGGCAGCAGATCAGAATGGAAGCTATGCAGAACGTTTCTTTTTCTGGAAAAGAGAGAGGAAACAGTTAAAAGGAACTGTAGGGTTTTTTTTTTTCCCTGATCGTTAGTGCATTTGGCCAGTGGTGTAGTATTCAGACTCATGTCGTGGTTTTAAAAAACAAATTGAGAAATACTTGGGATGTCATCTTTGCAGCTGAAGGTATAGTGCAGCTAATTGCTTGTGACAGTGGAGTTCAGGAAACAACTGAAAAATAAGAAGCTGAAAAACTGTTTAATCTATGCTTAATCATTTGTAGCCAATTTAAAATGTCTTTTTTCTGGGAGTGTTTCATTGTCTTTACAGTTTGCATAGCAGTCATTGATCAGTGATCCCATACTTGCATCAGATTTCTTTCTTGTCACTCTAAATCTGGCATAGCTGATATTATTGACCTTTTAAGTTATGGGAGAATAATAACCAGTGACCAGAGACACATGTAGCCATCAAAAAGACATTTTAAAGCTTGCTAGAGGATACGTGTTAGCTGAAGCTCTACGATCCAGTCGTTCTTTACATGTTAATCAGTTTATGTTGGTGCCTTGTTGGCTGCTATTCCCAACTTGAAACTCCTACCCAACTCTATCCAAGTTCCCAATTGCTTAAACCTGTATGTTCCAGATGAATGGTATGTTCTGCTCTAGACTTTGGGTTTCTGTTGTGTGTGATGTGAAGCTTTCTCACAGCTGAGATTATCGTTGTATGCCTCTAGGACAATATTGAGAGGAGGAAAAAAAACCCCAAACTCCCTCTGATTTGTTCTTAGTTCTTGTTTACATGAAAAATTGGGTTATTATATGACAAATTGTCCAGGTTCTGTACATGACATGTCCTCTCTTTTTCCATTTTTTTTTTCTGTCTAACGATGCAAATTGTGTACCAGTGGTAATGAATTCATTGTTATGCATCCAGTGAGAAACACTTAAGAATTGGGCACTAAAAGGATGTTTATCAACTCTTGACTTGGTAATGAGTGACAAAAATAGAGAAGGAACAAAGGTTTCATAAGCACTGTATTATCAGGCAATTTGTCGAAGTACTCAACTTCACAGGATATTTTAATTGGTGTATTCTGTAAAATGCAATGTTTAAATATACTTGACGAGGATGGAGAAGGACTGAGAATCAAAAGCAGCTTTTCTGTTGATGGATGCTTGTACCCAGGGCTGGCTCCCTTAGGTTCTCTGTGTAAATATCACTAACTCGTTGGTAAGATTTGCTCTCTTCTTTCAGATAAATCTATGCAAAAACAAACTTTATGATCTGTAAGTAAAAATGCATTCATTTCCAAAGTAGAACAGTTAGTGTGTACTTTTCCTTTTGTGCCTCAATTCTTCTTGGTTGTGTTAATTATCTGCCCTCTTTTTTGCACTGTGACTTTTAGGTCTGGGAATACTTTGAAGCAACAAACCTTTTTTTTTTCCAGCTACCTTTTCAGAGAAATAGTTCATTCCACACTACCTGCTCTCTTCTGCTTTTCTCCTCCTTTATCCGTGATTGGCCACAGCCACTTTTTGATACTATCTCTACAAAAGTGGTTGTAACACCAATTTCCAAGCATGCTGGGATTGTTAATTTGAACAACCCAACATCCGCCAGCTGCATGCATCAGGTTTTCTCTCATGAGCATAGTCCACTACATGTTCAAATGCTTCCTTAGAAGAGCAAATAACAAATTTACCTGGGTGAGATGTGTTCCTGCGCGCCGTACATGGCTTTGAAATCTTGCTTTTTAAAACTTGACGTTTGAATAGCCACGTGTTTGAGAGAGTTTTGTCAGAGATGCAAAACCAAATCAGTGACAGTGGTGCTTGAGGCTATGCTTATGAAGAAATACCTGTGAAAGCCTTAGATACTGAAGGCTGAAATCCTTAGTATCTTGGAGCCTTAAACCAATGGAATTCTATTTCCCTCTATTCATGACGTTTTGATCATTATATTCTTGCAAACGGTTCAGAGCAAACCTCTAGAGTCATGGTCACAGCCTCTCGTGACTCATGGGCATGCTGAATGGTTAATCCAGTAGATCTCAAATTTTAACCCTCTTTTTTTTTTCTTTCTGTTTTTTTTTTTTTTTCTTCCTGTGTGTATCCCAAAATACTCTACGGCTACTTTCCTTTTAACCTAATATAAAGTTTTCCTCTGACCTATAGCCTATAACCTCTTTACCTTTGACCTAAGCCTCTTGCATGCCCAAATCCTCTTTTATAGGGAAAAAGAGAGAAATGTATGAGCATCCTGTCTTCTGCTTGGCCTCTCAAGTGATGGATTTAACCATTCGTGAGTACTTACCACCCTCCTCTCCATGCTGTCCTCACTCTTTCTGTTTTCATTACCTCAAGAAAGTCCAGATCCAAACCAACTCACTCTCCTTGCTTCAAGTCTTTTAGCATTGGCTTGTCTGTTGCTTCTGTCTGTGAAACCCAGTGTGAGAAGTCCAGTCACTTTTTATCAGCCTAAACCAGGTTAGACAATTAACCCATCTGTTTGTGATAAACTCAGATCGTCTGTAAGTTTTTTCAGTTCTTCTTTATGTCCGTGACCTGAATGCATTTTTACTTTGCTTCTGTGTAACCCCAATTTGTAAAGTGCTTGTCACTGGTACACAATCAAAAGGTAGCGGCTACATCGGGGAGAAGTGAGCTAGAGGTCAGATAAAGGACACTTGGAAAAAGCCGTCCCTTTGCCTGCGTGTAAGATCTTTACCCAGTCCTGTGTATAAGATCGTATGAGGCTGTCCTTTCTCTGTACATCAGATCTTACATGTCTCCTGTCTGTTAGCTCTCGAGCGGAAGGATGCGCTTTACTTGCTCTCCTCCTCGATTTTTACTTACTCCTTTGCACCGAGCTCTGGAGGGGACATCCCAGCCCCGCTGTCACTTGGAGATCCCCTCTGTGTCCTCAGAGCTCACCCTCTCTGGTTTTCTATTTGTGCAGCGTTTTCTTTCACCTCCGTGAAAGGAGCTTCTTTTGGTAACCCCATGCTTTGGGGGGGCGGGGGGCGAGACGGGGCGACTTTTCTTCTTTTCAAATGTCATATATCACGCATAACTGGGGGGCTGTGCGGTCCACTTGCTCATTAATCCTGCATATCTGTTCTTGTTTCTCTCTTTTCTCTCCTTGTTGCTTTCTCTCTTTCATATAGAGAATCAAAAGGACGCAGGTGAACAATTGTATATGCATTATAAATTGCTAGGACTGTTGAGTTATATATATTTTGTTTTCTTTTTTCATAGCTCCTTAAGATATGTACTCCTTCAGGCTGAAAATGGAGATGCATTAATACTTAAGGAGTTAATTTGTGCTGTCTACATAATCTCCTTTTCCTCTTTCCTTAGAATAGAGTGTAGACTAGAAATACCTTATAGAAATACAGTATCTTCTTAGGAGACAGTTTTAGAGGAGAATCTAGCCTTTGTAAAGAGAAACTTTCTTGTTTTCCAAAAGAGCTGCAGCTCATTTGGGGTGAAAAAATGTTGGTGATTTGGCCATTAATTTAACACACCTAACAAGCACATTTATAACTAAACTAACGTTCATTTTTGGTTTTCATACCTTCTGTTTTATGCCCTGATGGGAGGGCTGGGTTTTTAATTTTTATTTTTTCTATTTTTTTGTTAACGTGTAAAAATTGATCTGGTGGGACAGAAGTCGTGTTTGTCTCTCGTTTATAACCTGTGGTGACGTGTAACAAGGCAAAGGCTCAGCTCGAGTGCCCGTCCCTTCAGCAGGGATGGTGGAGCTCTGCAGTCCCTGGTCTCGTTTCTGTTGTATCCCAGAGTCCTAGTTCGAAAGTCCTTGAAACCTGAACTGTTCATTTCTTTTTGTGAGTAGATCGTTCTGTTTTGTGGGGAAAAAAAAAAAAAAAAAAAAAAAAAAAAAACGGACAGCTCTGTTTGCAAAGGGAAGCTGCTTTTAAAAAGCAGTACAAGAGGCTGGGCCAGGTTCTGCCCTGGCTTCCCCAGGCCTCCGCAGCTCAGATTTGGCCCATGACCGAAAGCTACTGCTTGACACTAAAATTCATTTTGAATAGCAATAAATATTTAGAAAATGGAGAATAATTGTTCCCTACAGCTCTGAGAGGGGCAAATAAACAAATAGCAAATAGAACAATCCCGGCTATCACCGGTAGCTGCAGCGGATTAAAGTGAGTGCAGGCTGTTGTGCGTTGAGCACGCGAAATGCGCTGAGCATCCCGCTTGCTGGCAGCGGCTCGTCACGTGCATGAAATTCAGAAGGACGTTTCTATGGCCCAGCTCGTTTAAAAATAAAACTGCTTCTTCTCGATGCTCGGAGCGAGTAAAAGGACGCAGGGAGTTGCGACTCCGCTGCTTCGTGCCCACAAATCTCCTACTGCCTTAAATGAAAAATTTTCAGGCAAGGTCAGCAGGACTCAACTTGAAACCCGTTCCTCAGCTTAAGTGGAGTCAAAAGTGACTGGGGTTTGGCCTGACTTTTTATTTATTTTGCCAGAAGCAAGAATAAAAATAAGATACTGAAAACAACTTCTTCTTAAACACACAAATGTCACCCATTAATGTCCTTTCTCCTGAAAAGTGTGTAGTCTCTTGCCTTGCTTTAAAAATATTGATTTGAAATAGAACACTAAACAGAATGTTCTATGCTAAAACAATTAAAGATTAATGACTTGCTGTAATTATTAATCAGACAAAACTACTAACACTCAGATTAATAAGCACAACCTTTTAATAAGTGTTTGCCTGCTTATTTATATAAGTCAGGAATCCATCGTTCCTTTAGCAAAGAGTATCTTCTCCATCCCTTAAGCACAGGATTTGTGAAATGTGCTGCACTGTGTTGGAGTGCCATGGCACTGAGGGATCCCACGAACACAAGTGCCACTTTGCACTGCTGGAGTTGGGTACAGGCAGCTCGAGAGATGGTGCCAGCCAAGGCGATAGTTGTCACTTTGACAACTGATCGTGTTTAGTATAAGACTTTTTTTTTTGTTAGTTTTCAGACCGAGTATTTCTCATACTGTGATTTGGTTTTGGTCTCTGTAAAGAGAGGCTTCTTGTGGTACTGCTGAATTGATGCACAGAGATGGGGAGTGAAGGAGACGTGGGGATGGAGGCAGCTCTCGCCTCGCTGCTCGGCGCTGGGGCGGCAGAGCAGTGGGGCATGGACAGTAACTGGAGAGGAGATGGACCCACTGAAGTCCTGTTGCTCTGTCACCAAGGGAAATCAGCTACTCTTGGGCTATCCAAAAATGCCAGATTTTTGCTTGTCACACAGCCTCCCCAGCCCCAGTCCAGGGAAGCAGGGCTCCGGAGGCGCAGCATCTCACCACGCTGCATCGCTGGCGTGCACCATCCTCCCCACACCTGTCCCGCCCGGCCAGCCTGGCAGGGAAGCCTGACTTCCCTCACAAACACACTCAGTGGTGGTGCCGGGGGTGGTGCAAAGCCAAAACCCAGTCAGTGCAGGGGTCAGTGCTGCCCACGGAGCAGCGAGGCGCAGCCGCGGTGCCCGTGCAGAGGCAGACGTCTCTCAGGTGCCTGCATCGGGCTGGGGACCCGGGTGCACCCGCAGGAGAGGGACCGAGCACGGCGTCTTCGGCTGCGTCAGCCTCAGCTGGCGCTGGCCATGGAGCATCTTGCGCGTAGCGCTCGGCCCAGCAGGCGTGGAAAGCGTCCTCAGCCAACGAAGTGGGTGCAGAGGAGGTCGGGTTTTGACTAGAGCAATACAACAGGTTGTTAAGAAGCAGTGGTATTTTTCAAGGCATTCGTACTGGCCCTTGTCACGGTCCCCATAACGTCACTCGCCTTCCCTCTTTCTGGATCTGAGCCTGGGAAGCTCTGTGCACATATGCGTAACTCTGAGCGAGTGCACTGAAGTACGCGGGGCTGAGCTGCCTGTTGATTACCCTGGCCTGAGACGAGGAGAGGTCCTGTCTGATGTGTCAGCCCAGCCACTGCTAGGCAGTCACTCCCAGCATTTGTGATAAACCACAAAGCTTAAAAAAAAATTACATTCCCCAAATAAATATGGATGCAAAATGTGTGAAGGCATCAGTCTTAGTATGCAGGAGTGGAGACTGAAGTCATTAATAAATCATGCACTTTAACTCAGGCATGACTACCACCCGTATTTGTGTGCTGCTGAACTGCTGCTTTATTTGTTTCGTTCCTTGAAATGGCATTCGGTTGTGTTTAACGAAGAATCGTTATGCAGCTTTTGAGATTTCCTCTTGCCCTTTCAAAGGCAGTGTTTAAAGCAGTATCAAAGTTACTACAAGAGCTTCTGAAATCATAAAGATCTGCATTGTGCCGTTATCTTTCTACGAGTCTCTTAAGCAGAGCAACTTGCTGCCTGAGGCATGAGATATAATACAGATATGCAAAAATTCCTCACTAGGCTGAATAATCATCAGAAAGTCAGGAGATCAGTTCTCTTTTCAGTATGTTGAGGTTTGAGAGCTGAATTAGAGTCTCCTCCTGAGTTGAAAAAAAAATTTCTATGAATTTTTCTTATTTTTAAGATAACACATCTTATTTTGAAAGAAAAATTAGATCATCACTGAAATCAGACACACACAAATTCATTTCATGAATATAATAAAAGGCTGCTTTGCCTCGTCCTCAGGCTAAGTCCATTATTCTTTATAGTTATCTTGAAAATAGCAGCTCTTTTTTATCATTTTCATGACTGGCTTGAAAATGAGTGCACACATAATACTTACACACACATAATACTTACATACCAAAGCCTTTAGCAGGGGTTGTATATTTTTAATTATTACAAGGAAGCCGTTGAGTCAGTGGCTACGCTTTTAAAAAATATGAAAAGTCAACAATACTCTTCTCCTATTGCAAGTGTAATTCTCACTGTTGCTGATGTGTTAGTAGCCCATCTAGCAGAAATCATGATGCTGAGTGAGAAATGTGTAGTTTGAAAATCTTCCAGTCCGTAAAGAGTCACACACGCTGAATTGTATACAATATACGTGCCCAAAGTGGCGCAGAGTTTTTAATACACCTGTTATACTCATTGCAGGCTGAAGTTCATTGCAAGCACAACCCCAGAATTTGCCAAGTAATTTGAGTTTCTGCAAGTATTTTATTTGCAAGTATCATGCAGAAGCGTAAAAACCGTTGGCAGAAGTTTGTCCAGCAAAGCACTTTGTCAGGCTGTTAGTAAGGAAGAAGCTGCTCCTGCCTCTGATTTCAGTGATGGAGGTGTTTAAACCTTACCCATTTGACACACGTGAGCAGCAAATACAAGAGCACTTCTGATGCTAAACTGGCTGTGGCGAGGGATTAGAGAGGAAAAGGACAGGGAAGAAAGAAAAGCCAAAGTGAAGCAGAACTCACACGCTGCAGCTGATCGCTGGCAAGTGCCGTAAAACCCATGCAGCATTACGCGTCTCCCTCCATCCGAGCAGGAGCCGAGAGACCCCGCGAAAGGGACCTCCTGTCATCTCCGAGACCTGGACCCAGAGGAGCACGTAAACTCCAGCGCCTACAGGGCATTGCAGTCATGGCCCCACTTGTATTTAAATTTACAGATGAAATTAATCACTTTCCTTAGCCAGACCTTAAATCTTTTCAATTTTCTTGCAATAAAGAGGCAACAAAGGAAAGTGTGGGTCGGGGCTCACGAGGTGTTCAGTGCCCTGAGGAAGGGAGAGAGCTCTTTCTCTCCTCTCCTTTGGCTCCAGGTGGTTTTGCAGCCATTCTGCAAGAGCCCTGGATTTGGCTCTGAAAAATTTCAATGAACAAAAGAGCTGAATATTTGTGCAGATTGGGCCAGATCAGAATTACATCAAGAATTTGTTGCTTAACCTGCTGTAATCTCTTGTGGAAGCTTGTTTTCAAGAGCCGGTGGTGGCGGGGAGATGCCAGGAGCAGGGTTAAGGTGCTGGGGGGATCTCTCGCGGGCCCCCCAGAGAAGTGAAAGCCACCCCGGGGCACTGTGCTGATAACCGCACAGCGGGAGCCTCCTCCAAGCTGTTTTGTACGTGCTGCACTAGCGACTTGTGAAGTCCCAGTGCTGCTGCGTCTCTTGCCTCTTCCTCCTCTTCCTTCTCTGCTAATGACTTTTCCCTAGGACAGAAAACATTTGCACAAGTCAGGCCTATTTGACACTATGGAGTCTGGATGTCCGTGCAGTCTGAAATCTGTTTTTCGATGGGTAGCTGTTGGCGATGCAGGGGCTGGACTCGCGTTTGAGGGTGCGTGAGGGTCACGGCGCTGAGAGGCGCGGTGGGATGCGGTTCTGGGGCGCGAGTTTCCCCTGGCTTTGACGCTCTTAGGAGGAGCTCGCTGTCTTTGACTCTCCCAACTTTGGAGCCCGACGGCCTCCCCTGGGCGGCGAGGGGTTCCCACCACGCGGTTGGCAGGTGCGGGTGGGAGGAGACGTGCGGTCCCCTCTCCCCATGGTCCCCACCCACGCGGGGACCTTGGCACAAAGTGCTCTCCGTAGCGATGGGCAGTGACGTATTCATCCTGCGTGCAGAGCTCAGGAGCCATCAGTGAGTAGCCAAATTGAGTTCTTGCTTATGTTTTAAATGAGAATGAAAGTCATGAGGCCAATGCCCAAAACGCAGTTACTTTTGTCACTTGAGGCTGAGAGGTTTGTTTCTGAGGACAAAGCCACCCTTGGTAAATACTGAACAAGGTAAAGGTAAATACGGACTCCAGAGATGAACGAATAGATTTGCTTTTCCTGTTATCAGGAAAAAAAAAAAAAAAAAAAAGCCAGAAACCAGTAGCTTGAATCTGAGAGTCTGAATTAAATCATTACACAGCTTAAAAGACAAAAATGTGTGTGTGTGCGTGCACGTGTGTGCACGCCTGTGCACATTGTGTGTGTGTTTATGTATGTATGTATATCTATCTCTGTGTATGGAGAGGGGAACCAACCTAACTTATACTCTTTAACTAATGCTTTACTTGAATATTCTTTATTATACTTTGATAAGTGTTATAATTCTGTGAGAATTAAAAGCAATCAGAAATCTACTTTGCAGAAGCCAACCAATTTTTTTTTTCCCCCACTGGAAAATGCAAGCAAAATGGCAAGGACTTTTGGCAATAGAATGTCCAGATAAATATGCCAGCTTCCTTGCAAATGGCATTATTAAAAATAGTCACAATGCTGCTAAAAACTGTTATTAAATGGAATGGAAACTATTGTGTTAATATATTCACAGTATATAATTTATTCTCTGAGTGTATGTAAAAGGAAAGGCTATTTTCTTTGAATTTTTCCTATGCTGATATTGTAAACTATATGACAGATGGGTCAAGTCCTGATTGCAGTATTCTAACATTTGGAATAGCAAGTAACATATTTGATAGAGCTGGCAAGTTTTTATATATGATTCAACCCAGAATATAAAAGCCACTAGAATTCCAAGTTGAAAATAATTAAATGAGCTGGAAACGATCAGGAACCACACATTTTTAAGTGACAGATTTTTTTACATGTTTAAATTGCACAAGAATATTTTATAGCTCCCTTTAACCAACAGTGACGTTTAATTCTAAAATGTGTAATTGATATTTGCAAAGCAATTAATTCCTGTGGCTCATTATTCTATTGCTAAATGTACCTAAGCACTGGGGCGCTGCCTTAAAGTCATCCTTTTTAGTTCACCTTTTCTGAATTCCAGAGTTTTTAACTAAATTACCCTATTTCAGTTTCCTCATGTGGCTGCCTGAAGTGCAGTTTCATGCTTGTATTCAATTTTTAACTTTCTGATTGCACAGTACCGTAGGATGTTCGAATCTGCTGACTTCTAGAATATGTGTTGTCAGATGGTGTCATTACCGTGTAATACTTCAAGTACCGATAAGCAAAAACCCAGCAGCTTATTCCATTTGTATTTGATCATTTCTGCTTATGTTCCTTTCGAAGTTTCCATCTTTTTGTCACTGTTTATGAAGTCATTTGTCTCTTTACTTTTGGCGTGTCTCTCTCCGTCATGCACAAGCAGCCCGTCCGTCCAAGCCTAAGCCACCGGCTGGACCACCATCATCTCCTCAAACGCAGACTAACATGATAAATCATATGCTCAAAGGCATGGCCAAACAGCCGCCAAGTACTGTAATAGTCTTCCTTCCTTTTATTCAGTGGTTTTCTAGTCTAGCAGTTGCTTGTGTAGTAGTAGAAAGCTAGTTCTCATGTGCAGCTTTATACAAAATACCTAGCGCGATGTGGTAGGTTTTAGAGATTTAGAGGTAGCATTTATTTCAAAATGTCCACATTTTTTTGTCTAGCAATGTCTGACATATGCAACATTTTCAAATATCAACGTCAGCACAAAATAACATTGTTGTTGCATAACATTTTGCATGAAAACTATAAATATGTATGAGCTTTACATGATGTTGGATGAAATGTTTGATAAGTATATCGTATACGTTTCATGTAACTGTCAGTGCTCCAGCTATCTTAGCAGAATATTCTGATGTATAGTAACTTAACCAGGGAAATATTTAAAATAAGAAGAAAAAAAATTAAGATTGACATCTGCTGGCTGCCAAAGTTGTATAAGCATCAATATTTTCTTTAAAGACAGCATCTCTGAGCAGTTGTTCTTATTAACACTTTTGTCTTTTAGTTGTATTTGAGAGCAGATCAGTGTTGCAAATGAGAATGGGCCTGATGCTGCTCTGATCAATGGAAAAGCTTCCCCTTGGCTTCAGAGGTGCAGAAACAACCAAAGCTTACTAAGGGACGTGTCTTTGGACTCCTTTTGCACAAAAGGAAGAGGTTTCTCCTTCTTGTAGTCAGTGAGGTGCTGGATTGAATAGGAGAAAGAACGAGGAGTTAACCAGCAGTTCTCCAATTTCAGTATATGCCCAATAAATTATGTTAAGGGGAACCTGAATTTTTTTTTTCTCCAGTGATACAAGAAACAAAAGGAAAATGGAGAAAAAAAACCCAGGGCCCCTATCTGTGGCAGAGATCAGCAAAAATGTAGGGTTCATTTGCATGGTGCTTTACCATGTTGCATCTCTCATCCGAGCTGAGCACCTGCAATGCCAGACTTCAGCTGACCGGGTTGCTGAGCTCCTCTGAAAACCAGCCCGTGTACCCCTCACTCGACCGCTCAAATGTGACCGTTCTGAAAAATACGGCTTTCCTTTCCATAGGAAATTTGTTACCTGTAAACAAATATTCAGGGAAAACTAGGAGCAGGCAAGATTCTGAGGGGGAGAATTCAGTCCTTGAAGCTCACCAAGCCTTCAGCAAGGCAGGGATTTCTCCTTGGGTGACCCAGTAGAGCAGAGCGGTGCCGCCTGGGTGCAACCACAGGTTTCTGTCCTGTCAGTAGAGAAGACCTAAACACTAGCAAAAAGCTCGTGCGTGCAGAAGGCTGGAGCGAGGTGCCCAGCCAGCACCTTGCATGTCGGCATGACCCAAGCTGCTGGCGTAGCTGGGCTCCTTTGCAAGTCCCAGGGTGGTTGCTGGTAACGGCGCTTCAGTGCATGCACTGCTGGCGTGTGGCTGTGTTGGGCACAGACGGGCTGTTGTAGGCTGCTGACTGCAGCAGATCAATTTGGCTATTTGGTTTTGGTTCTTTTGGTAGCTCACCCATTTACGAAGTCTCCAGCTTTGATATCGTGGAGAGGCCAAAATACATGTCGTTGCAGAGGAATGAATTGGCTGGTGTAGCTACCAAAGTGCGATGCCACTCTTTGCCGTAGCTGCAGTAGAGAGCCGGGGTTGGCACCCAGAGTGACACGTCTGTAGTTAACGTGGTGACGTGCTGCGGCGTAGGTGGATCCCCGGGCAGCAGGGCTCCTGCTCTGCCCCTCCTCAGGGCAACCATCGCAGGGAGACTTTGCACACCTCAGGGAAAGGAGCCGCGGTGTCAGCTCATAGAAGACCCCATGGCTGCACTCAGCCAGCTCTGTCATTCAATGAAAATTTGATTAGTTTGGTTTTCTCTATATTATTTCTATATTATTTCTAGTTAAATACTCTAAATATTCCAGATTGTTACCACCTCAGATGTTTAATATGTTATTAATAATATAAATTACGTAGAAGAATGTAATGTAATTATTTTTAAAAGTCTTCAGAAAATGCTGCAAAATAGCTCGATATAGCTAAACACCAAGCTCCAGGATTTAAACTCTTTGGTTTGTTTGCGGGGTTTTTGCTGTAAAGTTGCATCTCTTTTCCCATATAAATCTTACCTATGAACGCCTAGTGGGATTTGCCACTTTCCACTCCCTCCAGCATGCGTAACTCCTTGATCCTTGTGGAGTTAAATCCTGGAGCAAGGCAGACCTGCAATTTTTGCTTTCAGTAGCAGGTGACATTTAAATTGCTCGAGTCTGACAATTTATTAAAAGTACAGACAGATTTGTTTAAATTGATCTTCTTAAAAGAATTTTAAAATAATATAGACATGATTTCTATAATAGCATCATCTATGTTGAAGGATACATATTGTTCATATATTAGCGGCCAGATGCTGTCTTTAGGGAATGTGATGTTCTTACTTGAGCTAATAAAGTGCCGCTATCTCACCATAAAGCAAAACAACTCTGACAGTATTGTGAAATTTGGAGCTGGAGCACTGTATTTTCATAGTATAATAACGAATGTGGCTTTCTGGTTTGCTCAGTACTAATTATATAAGCATTTAACATATGCATGAAAAGATCTTTAAAGCTGTAGAATATTATGGGATTTTTTTTTTTTAACCTCTAAAATAACTTACTGTACGTCTAGCTTTTCATCCTGCCTCCCTTTTAACTCGAGTTCTTGTACTACAGAGAATGTAGGCCGGTTAGTCACACCAGCTAAAAAGTTAGAAGATACAATACGTCTGGCAGAATTGGTAATTGAAGTGCTACAGCAAAACGAAGAACACCATGCGGAGGTGAGCAGCAGTGCCCTGCGAGGTCGTGTCCCCCAGGTCCTCAGCAGGCTCCGGTGGCTTGCTAGGAGCTTTGTATATTTGTGTGTTGTCTTCCCAACTGGTGCTGGGTTATCTTCTTTAAAAGCCAAAAGTATTCTTAAATAATGGTGCTCGAGTGCGATGAAGGCAAAGTACAGTTCAGGAAGATTGCTTTTGCAGAGGGGAGGGAGGGCTAAAGGAGGAATTAGCGAAGTTCTGCTCTCCTCTACGTCAGTCTGCAGCCTTCCATACAGCGCCAGCGGGAGCCAAATCTGGCCAAATACATTCACCACCAACTACATACAAGAGCAAGCGTGCCTGCTTTTCAGAAAGGCCATCTTTCCAAATAACATCATGTGTTTGTGCCTCCCGACAGCATTAGTGGGGTCCCTGCAGCAGCTGACCGCTTCTGCTGTCCAGAGCTGTAGCGAGGAGAACCACCACAAACCAAAACAACTCTTTTTCTGTCCCTTTCTGAGCGTTCAGGTTGTTGCCAGGGTTTCCCTGGGCCCCTGCGGTGCATGATTAACTCACCTGGTTTCCTGTTGGCCTCTTCTGACTTGGCTTATTGGGAATACCTCAATTACTAGTCATGGAGGTTAGGATTAATTATTCTTTATTACTCATTATTTGGGTTATCTGAAGCCTAATACAACTACTCTAACTCTTCGAAGCACTTTAACAGATAGATTCATGTTTTAAAACCACTGAAACCATGTCGTAGTCAAATATAGAGCAGAAAATCATGAGGCTTGATCCTGGAAACACTTGACCCCACAGGCAGCTGATGTTGCTGGCTGTAGTCCCGCTCTCAGCATGTCGGGACATTTCCACCTGAGCAGGTGACATTGCGTACCCGTGTAAGTATTTGCAGGATTGAGCCCTGAGTTCTCTCTAAATCTGGTGCTCTTGGATACGTATTGAAAAGTGAATCGTTTTAAAATTCAGAGTGAACAGTTACTGGTTTTGACTGTAGGTAATGTAACACTCATTCACTATTTTCTCTTTTCCTTCCCTTTGATATATATACTCACTATATTTTGCATTAAGAGCATTTGATAAATAATTTCACAGTCACCTAAAAATCATTCCGGTGTATATTAAATTTGCAGTATAATTTAACTTATTAATAATACACAACAATCCACAACACCCAACTAATGCCTGATTGCATATTTAAATTTCCTCCCTGTTTTTCTACTGTTCATTCAATCTTGGATGATCCTGGCAGGGGAAAGAGGTATGTGACTAAACCGAATGAAACGAGTCACTCCTGTCATATTTCGTGCATGCCCTCTCAGTGCCATGTTTCCTACTGGGATTTTACCCGGGTTGCCCTCGCTTCCGTAACTTTGACCGAGGAATGTAACAGCAACTTCGAGTCGGCTGCTTGCGGAGCTGGTAGCCTGACACAGGAGGGTAAATGTGGCATAGCAGTCCGGTCCATGCATGTAGCAATGGGTATATTTTACGAGCGCTGCAGTTACATCCCAACACAACCCTACCTGCCTGGACTCTCTCCTCAGCCTGTTGTTACCTCTGTCGTTTGCATTCACCCGACCTCTAGTACACTGTGGTGGAGCTGGACTAAGTACTACACAAGTGCCTAGAATGGTAGTGGTCTTCCTCTGGTTTTGTCTGTATGTGCCTTGTACTGGATATACAGTATTTATATGTAGAGAGAGAATATATGGGGTGAGGAGTGAAATAAACTTCGTTTTTACAAAAGCAAGGGGGTGCTCGAGAGCGCTGCGCTTGCGCGTGAGCTGTGATAACTTGTCCAAGGATAACGAGTGTTTTATTCCACTCATCACCAGCACAGGCTGGATGTACAACCAGCCGGGAAGGAGCTGTTTTTAAAATGCAGGTCATTTTGAAAATAGTAGACTTCTGAAGGAAGCGGTTACAGGGCCGGTCGCATTCAGCCAGCCACGCTGCCGAGATCCTCACCGGGAGGAAGACTCAAAACGGTTCTCCAGCATCTTTTGTGTCGCAAGGTTTTGATTAGAGACAGAAGGTTAATGCCAACATGGATAGGAGGCATCCCGGTCCCTCGTTCTGAACGGTGACCTGGAAGGGTGAAATTCATCTCTCTCCAGAAGCCCGGCACGCTGTCGGCATGCTACTGAATCCCTGTCCTGAGGGTGGCTGTGGCATTTCAGCAGTGTACAGGCAGTTGGCCAGCTCTCTGCACACTTTGAATTGCACCCAAAGGAAGAGAGAGAAGAGGCTGGGTGGTTTATCACTGATTTTTATTATGCGTTGTAGCCACATTATGCTCTCACTGTGCAATGAGAATTGCTGAGGTATTACACTTTTATTTTCTTTCCAAATTATACCAGGTGAGGTTTTTTTGACATGTTGTCCACTCACCTGGAGAAGGTTCAACCTGCAAGGTGCAACTCTTTGGTCTACTTTGGATGTTCAGCAGAAAATTAAATTGCACCACTTACTGAGGAGATGCCTTAATTTACTGAAAACCAACAGGTTTTGCAATTAGAACACGCTCCTTTTTTCCCCACATGGACATTCAGGCAGACTCGCTAATGAGAACCCAGAAAATAATACTCAGAGCGTGGAAAACATTCAAAAAACATTACAACAGAAGTGCCGTGTCTAGTCAGTTGGGTTTGTCTTACCCGTAAGAGAGAAGCAAGTGAGCGCAGGCAGAAATGCAGCAGAAACCGTGTGCCTACGTCCGTAATCTGGGAGAGCGGGAGGTCTCTGTCGTGGTGTCATCTCTCCCATCAGATGTCTCCCAGCTCCCTTTCCCTTCCTCTGGATGACTGACGACAAATGCCAGAGACGATGCCATTCACCTATTTTTAAACTTGTGTTTTCTCTCTCTATGTATACATATGTGTATATGTATATATGTATTTTAACTCCTTGAGGTCATACATATATACATGTGTATCCATGTGTAAAATATACAATAATAGGTGTGTTTGGCTAGAAAGCACACTTTTTTTCCCTCTTTACATTGTGTTTTAAGCAAAGCAGGTAAGTAGATGGTAAATAAACGAAACGTTACCATCTTGAAGGAGATTTTCAAAGTATGGTGTTACCGCTCCCACCGCAGGAAGGTCCTGCTCACCGAGGCTAGGGGAGGAGGAGGTTGAGGATCCTGACATAAGTTAGAGACTTACAGAGCTAGAATTTTACTTTTCCAGCAAAAGGGAAACTGTGACTGGTTTGGGCATTTTTTTTTTTTTTTTCCGCAAATGATCACATGCTTTTCTTCATAATTTCTCTTAAAAATAGCTATTTTTTTTTTCCCCTTTTTCATGGAAGCAGGTTTTTATTGCAGGACTCTGAAGTGTTTATGTTGGGATTTGCTGCAGAAGATACTCTTTGGCCTCCCCTCTTTTCCCTCCCCCGCAAATGCCGATTGCTGTTGGTCCTTTGTAGTGATCGCTCTTTGCCCGCAGACCTGTGGGCGGTATCTGATGGGGACACGGCATGGCAGGCTCTTGGCAGGCAGAGGCACAGCCAGAGAAACCACGTCAGTGCAAGGACAGCCCCGGCATCCTTGAAACCACAGACGAGCGCTGCTACTTTCAAGAGGACCCTCCCAGCCCCGTTGCTCAGCATCTGCTCTTTTGCCACCTGCGCTTTGGGGAGAAGGTTTGAGCAGGCATCGGGAGCAGACCTGAGTCTTGATGTTTTCGGTTCCTGTGTGGCTTTGCAGTGGTGCAACACCGCCCGAGGCGGCACTCCCAGGCGTCCGGCCGCACGCTCATTTGGACACCCGCGCTGCACGTGGGAGGAAGAGCTGAAGAGCATTGCCACACGTGCTCAGCCCTTGCTCAGCCCTCTGGACTCCAATGCTTTGGTTTCGGCTTTTCCAGAGTGACAGCTCTGCAGATGCCCAGGGCCACCAGCACCGCTGCGCCTGAGCTTTCCAAGCACCCCAGGGCAGGTGTTGCTGCAGCAGTGCCTGACGGCTTCCTCCATGTGCGTGGGGCTGGGGGCAGTTTGCAGATGAAGGAGCCCGGTGTAGCTGCTTTGTCCCCACGCCATGACCACAGGGACACTGTAACCTGCTGGTGTTGCTGCTCCGGGCATTTGCCCAGCCTGCCCCTGGGTGCACGGAAGCCATGCCTTCACGGCACAGCCCACCTCATCCACATCTTCACCCCCCATGACAGGGCAGGCCCAATACTAAGATTAGTTTGGGGTTATTCAGTTGCTTTGGTTATTTTACATCTTGGATGTGCTCTGGGCGTGTAACACACAGTGCTACGTCCAACCTATCCATGTCTTCACACCAGTTTTATGTCAACTCACGGAATAATAGCAGGGCAAAGTCAGTCTGCTTTATATTTGGGGGGAATGAAGGAGTGGAAATAGTCTCAAAGACCCCCTGCCCGATATTGCCGGCAGCTGAGAAGTCAGCCAAAATAGGCAGAATTAAAGGGGTCCATGGCAGTAACCTGGTTTTGGGGCACTGCTCCCTCTCCTTGGCCGAGTGAACCAGCAGCTGGAGTTGTGCTCTGCACTGCAGTGCAGTTCATCAGTGAATCAAACCTGAACCCTGAGAAAGTGAAAGTCCATTCTGCTTGTTCATGTCTGCTAAAATCTACAAAAAATACCCCTCCCTGACTGGCAATTCCTCTTCGAACTGATGCATCTATTCCCAGTCTTTTCCGTTTCATCTCCAGTCTTGTGCCTATGCTAGAGGTTTCTTTTTCTTGCAAAGTGCCGGAAAGCTGTTTCTTAGGTCCTTTAAGTCCCTGAGTAATTTCCTATCACTTCAAAATGACAGCACATGGTCCTAACGACAGCACTTCTCATATTGCATGTTCCCAGCCAGAAGTGATTACTAAACACGCATGCATGCGTTTGCAGCATTCACATCTGAGCCATGTATGATGTGAATGTCGCGTCAGAGAGCCCGTACAGTGAATTTTAAGGACCCATGTGCATGAGAATGACTGACTTCACTGATATTTTTTGGTTTTCAAGTCTAGATATATTTTTTTCCTGCCTCTGTGAAAATATAGGCTTGCCGTAGATTTTTTTTTTTATCTTGGCATGTTGATAATAGAGCTTTGTAATCGGTTTCCTAATCAGTAGCATTATGAAGGTGGTAGTGTGTTTCTATGGATGTGTATAGCTAACCATGTAAAATGAACAGTGCTGTAATAACAGTTATTGGTGATGCTTGACATATCTCTAAAGGAGAGTGTGAGTGATTTAGGACAGATTTTAATGTCTTAGGTTTCTAGTTTTTCAAGACAAATAGAAGTAGCAAATCCAAATAAAATTGAAACTGTTGAAAAACACAGGAGAAAACCCACAAGCACACTGAAGAAACTCCCGAATTTCTGTACTTTAGAATAAGAATTAGTTGATTTTTCTGATAACTAGCATAATTAAAGATGAATGAAGTCATTTATTGTAAATTGAACAGACGAAACCTTCTCTGCCGTGTTACAGCTGTGTGCCTTTACGGCGGAGCTCTGAATAGATCCTCTACAGGAAACCTTTGTATTAAAATAACGGTGCCTAATTCCTGTGATTAGCACTGTCTGTGCAGGCTAGCACTTTAAAGCACTGTTCTCTTTACAATAAAGGTAGTTTCCATAGGATGCACCTTTTTTTTTGAGATATGTGGCCTAACATCTTTCCCTGTGCTTTATTAGAACTAATATACTTCTTTATTATCTTTTTCTACCAACTCTGAAGGCCTTTGCTTGGTGGTCAGACTTAATGGTTGAGCACGCGGAGACCTTCCTGTCACTGTTTGCAGTGGATATGGATGCTGCGTTAGAGGTGCAACCCCCAGACACCTGGGACAGCTTTCCGCTCTTTCAGCTTCTAAACGATTCCCTCCGTAGTGACTGTATGTATTGTATTTTGATCATTTCCTTTTCCGTGGGCAGCTCAGGTTACTGATAATACTTTCAGCCTCTCCCTACTGCACAGAGAACTGAGATGGGTAGAGATTTACAGTACATACTCTTTTAGCATCAGCTTGATTTTGTTCCATTTCCACTAGAAAAAAAGCACACAGACGCTCCTTAAATCAAATGCCTCAGTCGAAGGTGAGAAGTTGAACTTTTATTTTGCTTCATCTTCTCAAGTCTCTTGGTAATGGCTGCCTGATTAGCAGGGAATTAGGTACTCTATCTCACTGTCATTAAATGTGTGTATCGTTTTATATGTGTGTACTGCATTTATTTAACACGGAGTAAAACAGTCCCTGCTTTAAAAGATTTTATTGACGGGAGGAAAATATTAAAGTAAATGGAATCAGGAGTAGCTCAGAAGAGTAGTGCTTTGTGAAATAAGACCCTTCTCCAAAGCACATGGGCCCATGCCTTCAAAACCCACGAGGACTTGGCACTATCCCCGTGGTGCGGCCGCTCCCTGGGGAGCTGGTGGCAGAACTGGCATTGCCTCCGGTTAGGTCCCAGAGGAGGACCCCAGTTAGGTTTCTATAACCATGTAAAAAAGCCAGGGACTCATCCTCAGAGAGCAATTTCCAGCATCGTGGTAGTGAGTAACCAAAGCAGAAATGATTCTCCTACCTGCAAAAGCCATAATGTTTGCCATGCTGTATTCTTACGTCCATTTTATTCACAGGAAGTAATAATGTATTTGTAAGTTTGACATTAATGGAAAAGAATATTCATTGTCTGTTTGTTTGTTTGTTTGGAGTAAGAAGCCATTCCTG